CAATGGAAACATTAAGAAGAAGAAGGACATGGAGTGAGGTATTTCAGGCACTGAATGAAAATAATTTCAACCCTTGAATACTCTACCCAGCAAAACTATCATTCAAACTTGACAGAGCAATAAAAATCTTTCATGATAAACAGAAACTAAAACAGTATATGAGCCACCACTACAGAAGATTCTACAAGGAATTCTGTACACAGAAGATGAAAGCAAACAAACTCGCAAGAGGATGGGAAGCATCAAACCATAGGAGAAGAAAAGACAAGCAATTAGAGAGTAGTATTGATTCGACTGCACACAATCAAATCCTTAACAACAAAAGCAACTAAATGGCAGGAATCACCACATACCTTTCAATATTAACACTGAATGTTAATGGACTCGACTCCCCTACCAAAAGACACCATTTGGCAAACTGTATTAAAAATGAAGATCTGACAATCTGCTGTTTACAAGAGATCCATCTTATTGACAGCAATAAACACTGGCTTATGGTGAAAGGTCCCCTGAAACAGGTAGGAGTAGCAATACTTACATCTGACAAAGTAGATTTCAAACTTACATTGGTCACACAAGATAAAGAAGGACACTTCATACTAATAAAAGGTGTAATACATCAAAAAGAAATAACAATTATCAACCTATATATACCCAATGTCAGTGCACCCAATTTTATCAAACATACACTAAAGGACTTAAAAGCACATATAGACGGCAACACAATGGCAGTGGGAGACTTTAATACCCCTCTATCACTAATAGATGATAGGTCATACAAACAAAACCCAACAAAGAAACCCTAGAACTAAATGATACCATAAATCAAATGGACCTAATTGATGTCTACAGAATATTTTATCTAACAACAACACAATATACATTCTTCTCAGCAGCCCATGGAACTTTCTCCAAAATAGATTATATCTTAGGGCACAAAGCAAGCCTCAGCAAATATAAAAAAATCGAAATAACCCCCTGCATTCCATTTGATCACAATGCACTAAAACTAGAGTTCAACAACAAAAACAACAGCAGAAAACATACAAGTAATTGGAAGCTGAATAACATATTGATCAAAGATCAGTGGGTAGTAGCAGAAATAAGAGAGGAAATAAAAAGCTTCCTGGAAGCTAGTGAAAATCAAAACACAACCAACCAGAACCTATGGACACATCAAAGGCAGTCCTAAGAGGAAAGTTTATAGCCATAGTGCATATATTAAAAGGACAGGAAGATCTCAAATAAATGACTTATGCTGCATCTCAAACTCCTAGAAAAGCAAGAGCAAGCCAAACCCAAAATAAGCAGAAGAAGAGAAATAATAAAAATAAGACTAAAGTGGTTCAACATACGAAAATCAATAAACGTAATAAACCACATTAACAGAAGCAAAGACAAAAACCACTTGATCATCTCAATAGATGCAGAAAAAGCCTTTGATAAGATCCAACATCATTTCATGATAAAAGCTCTAAGAAAACTAGGAATAGAAGGAAAGTTCCTCAACATTATAAAAGCTATATATGACAAACCTACAGCCAGCATTATACTTAACTGAGAAAAACTGAAACCATTCCCTCTAAAATCAGGAACCAGACAAGGATGCCCACTATCTCCACTCCTATTCAACATAGTACTGGAATCCCTAGCCAGAGCAATTAGGCAAGAAGAAGGAATAAAAGGAATACAAATAGGTAAAGAAACTGTCAAAATATCCCTATTTGCAGACGACATGATCCTATACCTTAAAGACCCAAAAAACTCTACTCAGAAGCTTCTAGACATCATCAATAGCTATAGCAAGGTAGCAGGATATAAAATCAACATAGAAAAATCATTAGCATTTCTATACACTAACAATGAGCAAACGGAAAAAGAATGTATGAAAACAATTCCATTTACAATAGCCTCAAAAAAAATCAAATACCTAGGTGTAAACCTAACAAAAGATGTGAAAGACCTCTACAAGGAAAACTATACACTTCTGAAGAAAGAGATTGAGGAAGACTATAGAAAGTGGAGAGATCTCCCATGCTCATGGATTGGTAGAATCAACATAGTAAAAATGTCGATACTCCCAAAGTAATCTACATGTTTAATGCAATTCCCATCAAAATTCCAATGACATTCATTAAAGAGATTGAAAAATCTACTGTGAAATTTATATGGAAACACAAGAGGCCACGAATAGCCAAGGCAATACTCAGTCAAAAGAACAATGCAGGAGGTATCACAATACCTGACTTCAAACTATATTACAAAGCAATAACAATAAAAACAGCATGGTACTGGCACAAAAACAGACATGAAGACCAGTGGAACAGAATAGAGGATCCAGATATGAAGCCACACAACTATAACAACTTATCTTTGACAAAGGAGCTAAAAATATACGATGGAGAAATAGCAGCCTCTTCAACAAAAACTGCTGGGAAAACTGGTTAGCAGTCTGCAAAAAACTGAAACTAGATCCATGTATATCACCCTATACCAAGATTAACTCAAAATGGATCAAGGATCTTAATATCAGACCCAAACTCTAAAGTTGATACAGGAAAGAGTAGGAAATACTCTGGAGTTAGTAGGTATAGGTAAGAACTTTCTCAATGAAACCCCAGCAGCACAGCAACTAAGAGATAGCATAGATAAATGGGACCTCATAAAACTAAAAAGCTTCTGTTCATCAAAAGAAATGGTCTCTAAACTGAAGAGAACACCCACAGAGTGGGAGAAAATATTTGCCATATACATCAGACAAAGGACTGATAACCAGAATATACAGGGAACTTAAAAAACTAAATTCTCCCAAAACTAATGAACCAATAAAGAAATGGGCAGTGAACTAAACAGAACTTTCTCAAAGAAGAAATTCAAATGGCCAAAAACACATGAAAAAATGCTCACCATCTCTAGCAATAAAGGAAATGCAAATTAAAACCACACTAAGATTCCACCTCACCCCTGTTAGAATAGCCATCATCAGCAACACCACCAACAACAGGTGTTGGCGAGGATGCGGGGAAAAAGGAACCCTCTTACACTGTTGGTGGAATGTAAACTAGTACAACCACTCTGGAAAAAAATTTGGAGGCTACTTAAAAAGCTGACATCGATCTACCATTTGATCCAGCAATACCACTCTTGGGGATATACCCAAAAGACTGTTACTCCAGAGGCACCTGCACATCCATGTTTATTGCGGCACTATTCACAATAGCCAAGTTATGGAAACAGCCAAGATGCCCCAGCACTGACGAATGGATTAAGAAAATGTGGTATCTATACACAATGGAATTTTATGCAGCCATGAAGAAGAACGAAATGTTATCATTCGCTGGTAAATGGATGGAATTGGAGAACATCATTCTGAGTGAGGTTAGCCTGGCCAAAAGACCAAAAATCGTATGTTCTCCCTCATATGTGGACATTAGATCAAGGGCAAACACAACAAGGGGATTGGACTATGAGCACATGATAAAAGCGAGAGCACACAAGGGAGGGGTGAGGATAGGTAAGACACCTAAAAAACTAGCTAGCATTTGTTGCCCTTAATGCAGAGAAACTAAAGCAGATACCTTAAAGCAACTGAGGCCAATAGGAAAAGGTGACCAGGAACTAGAGAAAAGGTTAGATCAAAAAGAATTAACCTAGAAGGTAACACCCACGCACAGGAAATCAATGTGAGTCAATGCCCTGTATAGCTATCCTTATCTCAACCAGCAAAACCCCTTGTTCCTTCCTATTATTGCTTATACTCACTCTACAACAAAATTAGAGATAAGGGCAAAATAGTTTCTGCTGGGTATTGAGGGGGGGAGCGGGAGGGGGTGGAGTGGGTGGTAAGGGAGGGGGTGGGGGCAGGGGGGAGAAATGAACCAAGCCTTGTATGCACATATGAATAATAAAAGAAAAATGAAAAAAAAAATAAGGCTAAAATTAATGAAATAAAGACCAAAAAAACCATATAAAGAATCAACAAAACAAAAAGCTGGTTCTTTGAAAAAATAAACAAGATTGACAAGCCCCTGGCAAATCTGACTAAAATGGGGAGGGAAAAGACCCAAAATCAGAAACAAAAAAGGGGAGATAACAACAAAAACCACAGAAATCCAGGGAATCATCAGAGACTACTTTGAGAACCTGTATTTCAATAAATTGGAAAATCTTGAAGAAATGGACAAATTTCTAGATACTTATGACTATCCAAAACTGAGCCAAGATGATACTAACCACCTAAACAGATTGATATCATGTAATATAACTGAAGCAGAATAAAGAGTCTCCCAAAAAAGAAAAGTCCAGGACCTAATAGATTCTCAGCTGAATTCTACCAGACCTTCAAAGAAGAACTAATACCAACACTTCTTAAATTTGTCCATGAAATAGAAAGGGAAGGGAACACTGCCCAACTCATTCTATGTAGCCAGTATTACACTCATTCCAAAACTGGACAATGACACATCCAAAAAGGAGAACTATAAGTCAGTCTCCTTAATGAACATTGACACAAAAATCCTCAATAAAATAATGGCAAGCTGAATCCAACAATGTATCAGAAAGATCATTCACCATGACCATGTTGGCTTCATTCCAGGGATGCAGGGATGGTTCAACATATGCAAATCAATAAGTGGAATACAGCACATTAATAGAAGCAAAGACAAAAACCACATGATCATCTTGATAGATGCAGGAAAAGCCTTTTATAAGATTCAATGCCACTTCATGATAAAAGCTCTAAGAAAACTAGGTATAGAAGGAATGTACCTCAACATTTAAAGGCTGTGTATGACAAACCTATAGCCAACATCATACTTAATGGGGAAAAACTGAAACCATTCCCCATAAACTCAGGAATGAGACAAGGGTGCCCACTATCCCCACTCCTACTCAACATACTCCTGGAATTCCATGCCAGAGCAATAAGTCAAGAAGAAGAAAGAAAAGGAATACAAATAGGTAAAGAAATAGTCAAAATATCCCTATTTGCATATGACATGATCCTATACCTCAAAGACCCACAAAACTTCTCCCCAAAACTTCTAGACACCACAAACAGCTTCAGCAATGTAGCAGGACACAAAATCAACTTACAAAAGTCAGTAGCCTTTCTATATACCAACAATGAACAAATTGAGAAAGAATACAGGAAAACAATTCCATTTATAATAGCCTCAAAAAATACCTAGGAGTAAACTTAATGAAGTACAGAAATGACCTCTTCAAAGAGAACTACAAACTACTGAAGAAAGAGATCGAGGAAGACTACAGAAGATGGAAAGATCTCCCATGCTCATGGATTGGTAGAATCAACATAGTAAAAATGGCTATACTATCAAAAGCAATCTACATGTTCAAAGCAATACCCATTAAAATTCCAATGACATTCATCACAGAGATTGAAAAATCTACCCTAAAGTTCATTTGGAAACACAAGAGACTGCGGATAGCCAAGGCAATACTCAGCAAAAAGAGTAATGCTGGAGGTATCACCATACCTGACTTCAAACTATTCTAGAGCCATAGCAATAAAAACAGCATGGTACTGCCACAAAAACAGATATGAAGACCAGTGGAACAGAATAGAGGACCCAGATATGAACCCACACAGCTAAACCCACCTTATTTTTGACAAAGGTGCCAAAAACATACGATGGAGAATAGACAGCCTCTTCAACAAATGGTGCTGGGAAAAGTGTCTATCTGCCTGCAGAAAACTGAAAACTAGATCCATGCCTGTCACCCTATACTAGTATCAACTCAAAGTGGATTAAAGACCTTAATATCAGACCAAAACCTTGCAGTTAGCACATGAAAGAGCAGGGAATACCCTGGAAACAATATGTATAGGCAAAGACTTCCTCAGTAGAACTCCAGCAGTCCAGCAACTAAGAGAAAGTATGGCCAAATAGGACTAAATGAAATTAAAAAGCTTCTGCACAACAAAAGAAATGGTCTCTAAACTGAAGAGACCACCCACAGAGTGGGAGAAAATATTTGTTAGCTATACATCAAAGGACTGATAACCAGAATATATAGGGAGCTCAAAAAATAAGCTCTCCCAAAATTAATGAACTAATAAAGAAGTGGGCAACTGAACTAAACAGAACTTTTCAGAGGAAGAAGTCCAAATGGCTAAAAAAACACATGAAGAAATTCTGACCATCCCTGGCCATAAAGGAAATGCAAATCAAAACCACACTAAGATTCCACCTCACTCCTATTATAGTTAGCATTAAGAACACCACCAATAGTGAACATTGGTGAGGATGTGGGGAAAAAGGAACCCACATACTGGTGGTAGGAACATAAGCTAGTATAACCACTTTGGAAACAATATGGAGGCTCCTTAAAATACTAAACATAAATCTGCCATATGATCCAGAAATACCACTCATAAGGATATGCCTGAAGGAATGAGACTCAAGTTATTACAAAAGCACCTGCATGCCCATGTTTATTGCAGCAGTATTTACAATAGCCAAGCTATGGGAATAGCCAAGATGCCCCACAATTGATGAATGGATCAAGAAAATGTGGTATTTATATACAATGGAATTTTACTCAGCCACAAAGAAGAATGAAATTTTGTCATTTGCAAGTAAATGGATGTAACTAGAGAACATTATCTTAAGCGAAGTTAGCCAGGCTCAGGACAAAAATCACATGTTCTCCCTCATATGCGGATTATAGACCTAAAACAAATGCAGTAATATTACTGGACATGGGTCACACACTAAAGGGAGAACATGCATGGGAGAAATAGGGAAAGGAAGCCTAAAACTTGAATGTGGTTGATGTGCTCCCTGTTGAGGAGTGAATAAAGTAATATAAAATTTTCAGAGACCACATGGGAAGGGGACCAGGAAGTAGTGAAGAGATCTGGTAGAAATGAGTCAATGTGAGTTGCAATACACAAGTGCATTGTAGCAACTCTAGGAATTTCTATGCATAGCTATCTTCATTCCAAACTAGCAAAAATGATATGTCTTTCTTATTGTCTCTTATGTTTTCTCGTCAACAAAATCGGAGAAGAGGGAGGCACAAGTTCTGCCTGGAAGCAGGGGATTGAAGGAGTGGGGAGAGGTGGCACAGACAATGTATAAACATGTAAGTAAATGTAAAAATGATTTTAAAAACCCAATTATCTAAAATAAAAATAAATAAATAAATAAAAGAGTCTCTGCCTCCAGTTTGCCTGCATTTAGTCAATTCTCCAAATTGTATTGGATTGTTCCTTTTTAAAGATTCAAATACAATTATGTCATTCACTTGTTTAACATGATTCAATGATTGCTTTGGACTTTCAGGATAAAACTCATACTGCTTAGAAGCCCCTCATAAACCAGATCCTACTTTCCATTCTAAAGTGAACTTGAGCAGGGCCTTACAGAGATTTCCTGAACTCCATTCTTTCCGTATGCCTCTGCTAATTCACACTGTTTCCTTTACCTAGAGAATCTTTCCCATCATTTCTGCTGCCCCCATCAACATTGTCCTCATTCTTTGCTAAACTTACTTGTCCTCTAAGATATAGTACTTGTACAATCTCCCCTGGAGAGCTTTCAGGTTAGGCTACATTGTATTCTTTCTCTGTGTTCAAAGTCACTGCTATTACTACCTTGATCACATAATGGTGACACTATGTTGATTTTCTCCTGAGCTCCTGAAGAACACGGGAAGTGAAACAATAAAACTTGTTGCCCTATATGTGCCTATCACAGTACCTAGAACATACCAAGTGACTAGCATTTCAAACTCAAGAATAGATTTTATATATATATATATATATAAAATCTAATATATATATATATATATATATATACCCTGTTGATCAGAAACATGGCCATTGATTGCATTGGAGGAAGAAAAATCACTGAAAATTAGCAAAATATTTCACTGTTTAAGGGCAGAATGATCAGATATAGAAACAATTAAATATGAAAAGCCTGACAAGCTGTAGAAGAAGGCCTGACAGTCCTGCTTCACCAGGTAGACAAGGATGAATTCAAAAGGTGGAGAATATGAAATATGAGTAAAAAGATTAAACTGAGGTTACATTCTTAGGAACTTAGGTTCTACAGCCCTATTGAATCTGCACCTAACCTGGGTAATGAGCAAGACAGTAAATCAATGTATGTGGATCTACTTTGCCTTGGCCATCCTGCCAACACCTTCCTTGTATCAAAGATGTGCAAGAGTGACAGGATGAGTCCAATGATAACAGATACTGGATTTGTTTGTATACAGTTCCCTGTTCTTTTTTCTTTCCTTTTCCTTTCTCCTTTCCCCTCTTCCTCTCCTCCTTCTTCTTGACAGGGTATCACTATCTCACTATGTAGCCCAGACTGGCCTTGAACTTACAATACTGTTCTTTATGAATGGTCAAACTTCTCTCAATTTAACTGGATATTATCATGCTAGGTGATAAAAGTCAAGCTCAGAAAGACAAATATCAGAAAGAAAAACTCATATGTAGAATCTAAACCTAAAATAACAATATGACATGATTGTAAAGGGAGGGCTATTTAGGGGGAAGAATGGGAGTAGGAAAACTAGTGGGAGGAAGGAGGGGGAGAGTGGGGTTGAATATAATCAGTTACATTGTATATATATATATATATATTTCATATATGTATGAAAATAGAAAAAATATTCCAACAATTTGAGTGACAAGACCTGTAGATTATCTTTGAAGACGATGTTTATTCATCCTGGAAGATACAGATGGTTTTTGAACCCTTTGAAATGGTGGCTGTGCTTTTTGTTTGTTTGTTTATTTTACTGGGGAGAGAGTATATAGCTTTTATGGGATACTCAAGAAAAGTCCATGATTCTGTCTCCTGTACTATAAGGAAGTTAAGAACTGCTGGTCCAAAAGAAAAACACCTCTAGTTAAGATGTGGCTTTTCTCATTCCGTTCTAAAGTCCTGTGTCCAGGAACAAGGAAGGTCAAGCATGATTGTTGCTGCTTCCTGTATCCAATGTCTGTTGGGCCTCAATTTGCCTTACATTCTGGGGAAACCCAGGCTGTATTATACTTTGATTGAGTTCCAGATGTCATGAGAGACACCAGATGGCTTACAAAAGACAGACCAGCTTCAAGGAAAATGTGCCTCATTTTCTTGGATCTGAACCATGAAGAGGTTTTCAGGGACAACCGTAGGAGATGTACCCTCAATGTTTTGCCTGATAGCTCGTGTTCCATATGTCCATATATGTATGAAGGAAAGGAAACTAATATTTATTTAGGGCCTTGTACATCAGGTAGTATGCTAGGTACCTCCATATATTTATCTTGTTTAATCATCACAATAGACAAAGGAGCTATCTATTTGGAATCCAGTTTTTCCAGATAAAAGTCTGAGATTCAAAGAGATTAAGTAAATGCATTTTAATGTTTGAGTTGTTTATGTTCTGTTCCCTGAGTATTGTTTGAGAACATTCAGGCCTCATGAATGATACTATGTGGTTTCTAATCCAACAGAGAATTTCTGTTTCTTAGTATATTTTAAACAAACATCTTCTCATGAACATCGTGAAGGCCATTTATGATGTATAGATTTCCCTGCATACTCCATCTCTGTCTACTGGAACATGCTTACATGTGCACACACACAAATGTGCACACACTAGCATAAGTTTTGTTTTGCACCATAAATGAGGACTTTGAAAAGAGTGTTGTGTCCCAGATTAAGAGCCCACCTATAGCGTGTTATAACATGTTGCTTCTTTAGTTGACATCACCATTTACAAAAACTCTCTGACTCTTTAATTTTAATCCCTGTATACTTAGATGAAAAGAATGATCTATATCCTCTTATAGGACTTTTTCCTCCTGTAATTTCCAACCATTTCTAATCCTGTAACATCTAAATCTTTTGTTTTGGAATCATGGAAACTTCTAGATATCTTCTACTTAATGGAGTTCCAATTCTGGCTCTCATTTTCCAGAAGTCTTCTGTTCATCAAATCCTGGCTCTGCCATTCACTACCAGTGGCCCTTAGGTGATTCAATGGCCTTTCCAAGTTTCAGTTTTATTTCATTTATAAATCAGTAGAACAATACCCGACTAGATTCCGTGGTATTATGTAAGGAATTAACTTTGTCAGTATTAAATGGGATCATGTAAGTAAAGCATTGAACACAATGCTTGACACATGGTAACAACTCAACAGTGCGATGTGTTGAGGTAATTATCAATGCAGTTATAGTAACAGTGGGAATTATTATTTCTCCTCATGACTGGGGTTTGTTTGGCTACAGAAGATCCATGAATTAATATGGTTCTGGATCCTCGTCCATGAAACACATCTGCACTGTTAATTAATACTCCCAATCAGCATGCTATCTTCTATCAGGAATAAATTACATCAGTCCCTAAAATATGATGTTTGTGAGGACTGAGACACCACATGCTGGTCTCATTGGAAGTTGGGAGAGGATATGAGAAATGAATTTGGCCTTGAAAAATACTTTCTATCCATTTTGAAATATTATTTGGATATTGTCATGTTTTCTATTATTAACATTAAGACACAGCCCAATATAAGCAATTCCTGGACTAATTCTGCACATTTCATAATCCTTTTTCTATTTTGTTTTTCTCTTAAGCATAGAAAACAAAGAATTTTATAATGTAATCCGCAGGCAGAACACAGATCAGAATTATGTACGCCTAATTATTTATACACTCAGTGTTCTGAAGGAACCTTTGAAGCGGAACATCTGAAATCTAATTTTTGTTACCTTGGGTAAGGGAGGCAGCCAGAGAATGAACGATCTTCTTTTCGAAAACTCAGGTTGAGGTTCTCTCTGTTGAGTCTGCCAATAGCTGTCCTCAGTGCCATCTTCCAACTCTCCAGCAGGCTCTTATTTGCTTCAGATTGCTGGGCACTGATTGAGGGGCAGGAAAAGGTTGTGAGAAGGTAATCCACTCACAGCAGCTGCATGTTTCCTTGCTGTGTCTCTCAACTGCACAGCCCACTGGGGACCCCAAGGACACACTTACTAAGGCTTTCAAAATCTTGGCAACATGCTCATGGCTCTGAATGTGGAAATCTCATAGATGAAGTCAGATCTCTTCCACTGGAGTGAGCCCTACGGTCTCTTCTCAGGAGGCTCTAGCCAACTTGACCACAACATAGACTAAAATATTCAATCTATCTTTTTTGCTCTTTTTTCTCGGCGGAAAAAAAAAAGTGATTGTAGCAGTTTATTTTACCTAATTAATCTTGCTATTCTTAAGATCAGCTAATTATTTATAGCAAATCAAATTTCCAAACTATTTCTTGCCACAAGCCAAGCCAAGCAAAGCCAAGCCAAGCCAAGCAGATCCTGCCAGATACCTATAACTGTTTCTGGGAGATCTTGTGCAATACCTGGAATTGATTAGTTCTAATGTATATAACTTTTTCTAAAAATCACTTTGCATCTTTTTTTTCCTCTGTGACTCTAACAGGAGCTTTGGCTCCAAATTATTGTATTCTCAACTACTTAATAATATATAATATTTTCCAAAAATTTAGTCAGAGAAAAATAGTGGACACATGTCTTTGCTTTGATCAGCAGCTTTGGCATCTCCTTCCTTTGTTCAGGTAGTTCCCCAGCTCCTGAGATTGTTCCACACTAGCAGAGAGGTGTGGCTATTCGCATTACTAGTCTTTCTTTGATGTCAAGACACATGACCCAAACGCTGCCAATCAGATATCTCTGTTCCATATTTGAATCAGAAGTTTCCTCCATCTTTTCTTGCAATACCAGTTCCTGGGGTTGGTAGGAATTCATCAGGTTTTGGTCCTGGTTCAGTACACTGAGTACTGAGTGGGCAGGTGTTATATGGAACTCATTTACTACAGCTGGTGGGGTTTTGCGGCAAGCCTGTTGCAGGAGTATATTGCATCTGGTCTGTTTTAGGAGATGAAAGCTGTTACTGCCTCATCACAGAACAACCCCACTAGAGGCTCTTCTGACAGAGCATGGGGAGGACATTTTTCTCAGTGGCACATTAACAAAGAACCTGGCTTCACTGTAGCCCATCAGTCCTGCATTTCTACAAACACACTGTCTGGTTTATATAAAGCAGCACCTTCTCGGATGTGCTCAAAATGATCAGTTTATGCTTTTCTTTTCCTGTTTTTTTTTTAATATGGCAGATATCCAGGTTTCCCTAAAAGTCAGGTGATGTAAATTCTTTAAATAACTCGAGATACCAACCGTATTTTAAAAATATGTATTGATCATCTTTTATATGCCAGGAACTAAAATAAGAATAAGATAGATACAAAGTTGGCCATAACAGACACTATCCCTAACCTCAAATGCCAAATAAGCTTAATATTTATGAAGAGGAAGGACAATGGGACCATCTAATAATGAGATGTGCTCTAGTTTAAGGGTCAGGATTCCTGTCTAGGATTTATAAGATCTGTACAATGAATGATCATATGATCTACTGCATGGTCCATCACTTCTAATGGTCATATTTTTATGATTTGTCTTAAATGAAGTGTTGTTGCAGATTATTAAAATTTTCTGGGGCATATGGTGCCCAGCAAGACAGTTGCTCCCTGAGGTATATTTGACTGGATTGTCTAGAGCAGTATCATTTTCTCTGGATTATGAGCCCTCAAGTGAGAGAACAGGTCTTGCCAACCTTGGAATTTACTCTGCCAATTAAAGTGGACCTGGCAATCAGTTGCTATTCAATGAATCTCTGTCAAATGAAGGATCACAGTCAAAAGGGGCAACCTATAAACACGAATCAAGTCTAACACCTAGTTAAGGGGTATTTGTTTAAGAAACTCTTATCAGTGTCCTAGAGTGAAGCAATTAACTACAGTGTTATGAGCCTTTGTCATATTCTTTATAACTAAAAAGAGGTGTTCTGGAAGGATAGTTCAAAAATAATAAAAACACTTCTATAGCATTTACTATGTACCAGGCCTTGTTTTTAATAGCTTTGCATTTATTAACTCGGTGACTTACAAATCAATGACGTGAAGTCTACTTATATCTCTATTTTATGGTTAGAAAATGGAATCACAAAGTGAATGACAAGGTCTCACAACTACTCAGTGGCAGAGACAGAAGTTGAACTCAGTTTTCTGTCAATGGAGCCTATGCCCCTAGCTACTTGCACTTTGTCACTGTCCTTGGTGAATGTGAAGAATATCATACTTCATTGTGTTTCATCTGTAATGATATTTACTCACATTCTACTTTTATTTTCAGTCATTTTCCCCTTGAGATTATGTAAAGGGGTTATTGACTTCTGTATCTCAAACTTTTTGCTAGTGCCTATAATCCAGGGTATCACTGACTGCATCTATTTCTGGAATCACACTTTATAGATAAGTTCTGCACCCATACAAAATCATTTCTCATTTTATAATGAGGTTTTTCATTTTCACACAATAATTTCATAAAAAGACACATGCTTGGTGTTAAGAAACATATGCAATTGCTATAAATAAGTTTCTATGCTGTTTGCTTATAAGAGAATGAGAGAGAAAGAAATGCATATGCCAAGTGTTGGTGATGAGCAAAGTGTTCTGCATTGGGTAAGATGTTAGAGTGAAGGCCATCAAGATCCTGCAAACTCTGGAAGTCTAGTGCAACAGACTAAATTGTTATGTCCCTACAAAGTTCAAATGTTGAAACCCTAATCCCAATGTGATGGTACTAGGACGTGAGGCTTTGGGGATGTGATTAGGTAATGATGGTAGAGCCCTCATGAACAGAATTAGTGCCCTTATCAGGAGATTCCAGAAAGTACTCTCACTGTTTTGCCATCATGCAAGGATACCTGGAGGGGCTGGCATCTGCAACCTAGAAGAGGGACCTCACCAGTCAGACCACACTAGCATCCTATTATTGAACTTTCAGCCTCTAATGCTATGAGAAATAAACATCTATTATTTATAAGCAATCCAGTCTGTGGTAATTTATTATAGCAGCCTGAACTGACAAAGACATGTAAGAACAATATGACTACATACGGGGAGAAAAAATATCAGTGGTTGTGATTACCATGACTCGAGTTTTAATCATGTTGCTATACACAACTATTTTGGTTTGCTATAAGTCATCTGAAGCTGCACCTTTTAAAAAACAGAGTAGCTTTCCATAATTCACCTGAAAATTAAATACAAAATAGAACATCCTCATTTAATTTGCATCAAAGGGAAAGAAGCCTGCTGAATTGAAATATTTGGAAAATTTTGATCATTAAGTTTTAAAAATAACTTCAAAATATAGAATCACAATTATTAGTAGTGTTAATAATTTCTTTATTATTATTTCTTCTAGGTCAAAGGTAAAGTTGTACTTCCTGGTTGCCTGGTAGTTGGGTTAGGGCCAAATGACCAGTTCTGACCAATCAGCTATGAACAGAAGTGACTATGCCACTTTGGGTTGAGGATTAAACTGTTGACAGGAAACCCTTCAGAGATTTCTTTTTCCCTCTGCCATGATATCTAAAAGTGTTCATCAGCCTGTATCCTGCAGCTAAGATTATAGTGCTGAGATGGGCCTGTGACTGACATAATGGAAATGTAATGTAAATTTTTAAATTAACTTTTATTGTTTTAATTGTTTACTGAGAATTTGGGGTTATCTGATATATAGCATAACCTAACCTCTAGCCTCTCTTTTTCTCTCTGCCCTTCTCACATCTATACATTGATTATATATAATATATTCTTATATTTAGATGTATTCAGCTTTTCTAGAGACAAGAATTTATTTGGCTAGGTGAAAAATAACTCAAGATTGCATTTCTACATAGGAATGGACTGAAGAAATGTCATTCGTTTCCATTTCTGGGTTGGAGGCATTCCAGGAGATCTGGTGGGCAGACAACTCCAGGGCAGTGACAGAGGGAAGTTAGGTAAGATCTCTGATATAAACTAGGTCTCAGGCCAGAAAGTTAGAATGAACTAAAGATTCATGTAGGTTGTATAATATGTTAACATTATATTGCTAAGTACTTTTCATAAACATACAACATATTCTATTATGGCTGGTTGGAGGAGAGAGAATTAACATTTATTTGAATACCTACTAAATGCTAGACATGAGGCAGTAGTTCACATTTTTGATATCACTAAATCCTGAGATGAAACTTGTGAGGTTGGTGACCTGGTTTTCCAGATAAAATCATTGAGTGAGCTCCATGTTAGAGTTAATGATGATAGAACTAGATTAGAGCCCAGGTCTTCTTTTTTGAGGACTGCTCTGTCTGTTGTATTGTTACCAATACATACTCTTGATTTGCTTATTGCTACTACTTTTTCCTATTTTAGGATATTTTCCTGTGACTCTGCAAATTTCATTGTACTTGGACCACACAATATTTAGCAACCAGTATGAATTTTGGCTCAGTGCCCAAATATATACAGTATCCAAAGGACCCCAACCTTGTCATTGGAGAACTTGTATATCAAGTCCCAGGTCTGTCATTAATTCCTTGGGTGCCAAGCCAGTTCCTTGAAAGCTACCAGATCTCAGTTTCCTAAACAGTAAAACAGTGGCAGTAAGTTATATTTCAAAGATACTTTCCACCTTTAAGAAACAACATGTAATAGATCTTGGTCATGATTTCCACTCTTACCTTGGAGCCTGCAGACCAAGTCAGCTCATGAGTAGACTCAAGTCAGCCCATCATCTTGAATCTCTATCTACCCTCACAGTGTTAAAAGCAGACAATGAAAGAAGTTGGATAGGAAAGCTCTTTAAAAGGAAATTTAACAGAAGGTGGGCATGGTCGCTTGTGCTTGTAATCCCAGCTACTCAGGAGGTGGAGATTAGGGAGATCACCATTTGAGGCCAACCTAGGGCAAAAAGTTAGTAAGACTCCATCTCAACAAAAAAGCTGTCATGATGGCATACACTTGTGATTCCAGCTATGAAGGACATGTAAGTAGGAGGATCACAGTCCAGGCTGGCTAGGGGTAGAGTGCCTGCCTAGCAAGCATGAGGCCCCAAGTTCAAACTCCATTAACACACACACACACACACACACACACACACACACACACACACACACACAATTAGTGGAGCTGAGAGCCCGAACTGTATTTTCTATCTCAGTCTATTCTGACTAGAAATTCCACGTATGAATATAAGTAAAGGTCATACTCAAGAAAGCAATTAACTTTTTCATTCTATTACTATGGTGGGTAAAAGTAGGAGATACAGAAGGAACCCACACTTAAATTTCCAAGAGGACCATATCATTTCAGGAGAGCCCCTCTTAGAAAACTGCTGGCAAAGGAGCTTGACTGTCAGTAACTGCAGAGGGACTTGGTGTCTCAGGAAGAGGAAACTCAGCTGAGATTGGAGGAGAAACCCTGAAGGGAGGGTATCTAGGGTCTTCATTTCTTTTTGAAGCTTGTCTAACAAGCTGGCGCTCAAAGGGTATAACTTGAGTTCTCTTCTGATCAGGGAAAGAAGAAAAGAATCTTCTCTGGTCATTCCATTTGGCCTCTGGATCATATCCAAACACAACAACAGAGGAAAGAAAACGAACAAGGTTCTGAAATAAAATGGCTAATGGTCTAAGCAAGGAAGCAGAAGCCATTGGGTAGCACATGCAGGCCTGGCCTAGATCAGGACAGAGTAATAACACCTAAAAGCAACCATCGTTTCTGGGTGGTTTCAATAGTTTACCATGTCTCAGGAGAAGAAAGAAACCACATCTTTTCAGAGGACACACACACACAGTAACTTTAATGTCTACCATCTGGTTTTTACACAATAACAGTTCTGATTCTATAAGTATTTAGAACAACAAATTTTAGAGACTTACTGGATGGGGAAGTTTAGAACTGGTGAAACCAGAATTTTGGATCCCAGGCCCAAACTCCTGGGCTTCCTTATGCCAGGTCTAGCCACTTTCCCATATATGCCAAATGAAGAGGCATGGTGAAGGCAGAGATAGGAAATTTATTGCACAGCCTGAGACATGACTGGGAAGAGGCAAAATAAGCACTCAGTCCATTTTCAGCCATCTTCAGAGTATAGATATGAGCTATAGGTTTAAATAGACAAAGAACTGGGGTCAGGGCCCGAGAGGTATGCATAGTTGAACAGTCCCAGTCACAGGTGTGGTCTGGTTGGTCATTATCTCAGAGGGGTTTCAGAGAAGTTGTGGTTGGAGTCATTGAACCTAGCAGGTGGTCTATCATGTGGAGGCTCCACCGTCAGGGGTAGTCTCAATCCTCTGTCAAGAAGATGCCATCAGCTCTGTCCTTCCTGAACTCCAAGGTGACTGCAAAGTGACTGTAGAGAGAATAGCCCAGAGCAAAGACAGGTACAAAACGAAGGAGAGATGCCATGTTTTTCTCCTGCCTCTAGTCAGTTTGTGGGCCCAACTAAGGGGTCAGTACTTTTCAGCAAAAGCAGTTTAAGTACTTCTTACACTACAGGTATGGAGAAAAGACAAAGTCCAGGTCCTGACTGAGTTAACTGGAAGCACAGTGGCCCTTCTGAGAAACTATGGAAAGAAGGCAGGTGTAAGGAAGATGAAGACTTCAGGTGAGATCTATAGGATTTGCCTAGAGAAAATGTAAGAGGAACTTACAATACTACTTTTGCTGAAAAGCACTGATTCCTTACTTGGGCCCATAAATTAACTAAAAGCAGGAGAAAAGCTTGTCATCCCCATCTCCATTTTGTACCAGTTGTCTTATGCTCTGAGTCACTCTCTCCTGCAGTTACCATGGAATCAAGGAAGGACATCTTTATGACAAGGGACTGACACTATCCCTAAAGAACAGCAGAGCCTTGTAGGACAGAACACCTCTCCAGATAAGCACAATTGCCTATAATGATAACGCTGCACTCTGGAGCAGAAGTAATCATCTCATGGGAACCATTGGTCCCCTCAAATGATTATAGGGTTAACAACTTCTTTGGAACCTTCTCTGAAAACTGCGGAAACTTCTTTGTTTATTTAAGGCTAAAGCTCATGTCTGTATTCTGAAGGTGATTGAAGATGATCTGGATGCTTTCTCTGCCTCTTCCCATGTATGTCCAGAGCCTTGTAATAAATCTCCTTTGTCTACCTTTCACCATGTCTCTTTATTTGGCATATAGAGACGAGTGGCAGGACTTGAAGTGTGGAAGGCCAGGAATTTGGGCTTTGGATCTAACTTTGGCTTCAAAACTTCCTGTAAAGCTCTCTGTACAAATGGAGTCTGGAGTCCACCAGTCCTTCTTTAGACTGTCTTATCTGCTCCACATAAAAATGTACATTCAACAAATAATGCTCATTCATCCACAATAGAAACCATCTCAACTGCTCAGTATACACAACTCAGGTTGGTTAGAGCCACTGCTTGCCATCTGTTCCAAGGACCAGTCTCTAGGCTTTCTCCTGGGGAGGCCATGAATATAGGACAGGGACTAGTCTCCAGTTGGTACAGAGCAGCAATGGGCATTTGCCTGACTGAGACTCTTAAAGAAACAAAGACAAATGGAAGCAAAGATCAAAGGAGGCAAGAGGGAGGAGAAAAGAGAAAGAGGAGATTATGAGTGAGCCAATCAATTCTTTCAACACACTCCCAGTTCTAAATGAATTTCAGCCCATGTAGTCAGTGAGTTGTTAAATCCCCAATGACGAACGTTTGTCTCACACCAATTTCAGCATTATGTGACTAACATGTTTCCTAAACGTGTTAATAATTATATACTGTCATCTATGCAAGAAAGGTACCTGTAAGACAAAAACTAGGTAGAACATAAGGTGTTTGTAGGCAAATGTGAGGTTCTTATTAGAGATAAGAATATTCCTAGGCTGTTTTAAATTAGCAGGCTGAGGAAAGGCAGTAAACTCAGTTTTGAGCTTTGTCAAGAATGAAGGAGATTAAAAATGTTACACCCCAAGAAAAATGTTATTAATGGTTAGAATAATAATGGAACTAAGGTCAAGGAGAATAGTAATGTAATAATCATTTTTTAAATTTTTCTTTATTTAATGATGGTTTCATATCTTAGGTTGGAAGGCCTTGCTAGCTGCTTTTCCCAGGGCTAGCTAATTCCCTCCCAAACATGCCTTTCATACATAAACTGGTTAATCCTGAGCTCAAACCCCTAGCCATTTCCTTCATGGAATTTTCATGCACCAAACAAATATTTCCCTTGCCTTAAACCATCCAGGACTAGGTTCCAGACAACTAGGAACAGCCTTTATGTCTCAGAATCTGATGGAATTATTCAAACTAGCCAGTGCTAAGCTGTTTACCTTGCACTGCTTTGCCTGTCTTACAGAAACCTTGCAAAAAGTTGTGGTCTGTGCTTTCCCTCCACCTTCCTCTGCCTCTAAGTGAACTTGGTACTTCCCCATGTGTTCCTGTGTGGGATAGCATGTCTCCTCTCAGGAAATGTAAACAGCTCTTTGTCCAAAGGCAATTGTCATCATGACCATTGTTTTATTATATCTGATTAAAACAAAATCCTAGGTAAAAATTGAGACCCCTATATATTTATAGTATCAAGTAACTGGAGGAAAACATGATCAGGCCTATGAAAACTGAGGTGTATGCACTAAACTGATACTCATGTTGAATAACCTGTCAGTATGGAAAGCAACCTACAAGTGTTTTATAGTGATGAAGCATTTTAAGAAAAAAAAAAAGCTCTCTAGAGCAGGCATGAGTGGGAGAGAGTTCTAGAATATACATTTAAATAGTTATTTTTGTGACATATACACTGTACAATGCACATATTGGGGCTTTTGTATATATCATTCAAGTTAATTCTTGCAACAACCTTATGAGGTAGATTGTATAAGCTCCTATTTACATTTGGAAAGCGGAGGCTGACAGAAGTTAAGTAACTTTATAAATTCATTTAAGAAATACTTATGGCTTTCTTAATCTGGGCCAGCCTCTGTGACAGCCCCTCGAGTGAAAACACCAGATTTGACCCCTGATCTCTGAGCTTGCAGAAAGCAGAAGCACAGTGAGCAGCCATGATTGACATATAGTCTAGGCTTAAAAGAGAAGTAGATGTGGATAGCCTAACAAATAGGCAGGGAGGAGGAGAAGAGAAGAAAGATGATGACAGGAAAAGTGAATTGGATATAAAAAACTTCAAAGGTGTATGCATGTGTGTTAGTGAGAGAGATGGATGCTTTCAGAGAATAATTAAACCTTTGAGAAATGAAAATATAAAGTTAGAGAGGGAAACAGGAGGAAGACCATGAATTATCTTTAAGACTTGTTAGCATCTATCTTTATCTGAGGGCAATGGGGAGCCATAGAAATGTTTTTAGTACAGCAATAAATAGATAAGTCTTATCTGAAATTACCTTCCCAGTAAATTGTGCAGATAAGATTTGAATCATGTTTTTTACTACTACCCTAGGATGAGAGAGATGTAACATTTAGAATCCAGAGCAATTTCACTATATTTGGTTAGATGATTCAGTCATATTGTTATCAGCATAATGTTTCTTGTTAATTATTTGTAACAAAATATTTCCATGTTCAGATTTATATATGTGCAGTTGGCCTTCTTGTATCCACAACTTCCATGTCCTCAGATTCAACAAATATCAGATAGAAAATATTTGAAAAAAGATTGTATCAATACTGAACAATACAGACATCTTTCTTGTCATTTGCTAATCGATATAATACAACACTATTTGCATAGCATCTGCATTATAAGAGATATTGCAAGTAATGTAGAGATGATTTAAAATATATCAGAAGATGTGAGGATGTCTCACATCTTTTTTTTTTTTACATTTTTACATTTTTTTTTTTACATTTTATGTAAAAGACTTGAGTATCCTTGGATTTTGGTATCCTTCAGGGTCCTGGCACCAACAATCAGCAGATAAAGAGACATGTCTGTACTTTATCACTCCAATGGAGTCAAGGTGTTTTTTGGTCTTTGTGGCTCTCATTTAAACATCAAAATTTATTGAGTTCCTTTATCTTCAACACTACAGATACAGGTGAACAAAGCATGTGTGATTCCTGCCCTCACAGGTCTTTTGGCCTGGACATCATAGATTAAATTTTGTGGCTTTACCCAAAGAAAAGGGAAAATATATTGCACCCCCAGAATGTCATGCTGAGTAGGTACTAACGTATTTTAAATGTTTTATATAGCTTCTAAAACTATACTCTTTATATTTATTATATTCTATATCTCCCTTCGGTGATATGATCTCTGTATAGGCCAGGGCTCTGTCTTGTATTCTGCTGACTCTCCAGCATTAAACGCAGCACTGAATCTGCTGAGTGAATAGAGAAACAGTGTCATGGAATGGTGATGGGCCACTGGTGCAGTGATTCAGGCCCCCCTGTGTGCTGGACTTCAGATTTCTTCCTTTAACTGATATAAATTACCCTAGTCTGGGATGTAACTTTTCAAAAGACATTCAAAGAATGTCCCCAAAAGTTAAAAAAAAAAAAAGGTGAAATGGAAAATTCTGTTCAAGATTCACCAAGTTTCTGACCTTGAGAATTACTGTGCACTCACAAATCTCTGATATACAGGTCTGTCTCATTTGGTTTACTTGAATCACAAAGTACTGCTTGGATGGATGACAGGATAGCCTGAAGTGACTTTGATCAATGCTAATTGTGTGGTGTTTGTCTAAAAGAATTGGGACAAATGAAGCATAGCAACTTAACACACATTAAGAAACTCTTCTTGGGTACCAGAACTTATAAGTGTTGGAAAACTAAGCAAGTCTTTTAAATATTGCCGGGGAGTAAAACAATGTTTAAGTGCTTACATTGTAGAAGTTATGAACACTCCCCTCCAAGACAAGTGAGCACATCATCTTCTTAGTATTGTGTGATGCATAGCTGTGGCTTGGGGGAAAATTCCCAGACAGAGCATCAAATACAGATTTGGAAATTCTTGTTTCTTAAACTACTTAGACCAATGTCTTGATGTGTACTACAATGTTGGTAAATGGCTCTGAGAGGACTCATATAATAATGAAGACAACCATGAGAACAGAGCCTGTAAAACATTTGATATGAATTCTTAAAAATTATAGAACTGAAAAGTAATATTTCCAAATTGATATGATATACAATATATGATTTTCATATTTGCTGTAAACAAATTAATACAACTGATATTAATATTGATCATTTGAATATTTTATTTATAAAAATTATATTTTATCTTTTAACTTTTAATTTTGGAAACTTCAAACACAAGCATAGGTAGAGAAAGTATTATAATGAAACTCTATAGACTCACCAAATATTGTTTTATTTATACCCAAATTACACACATACATGCACATACCAGAGATGAAGTGGAGCCAGTCAGTTAATCCATGCAGATTATTTCAGCATGCATCTATAGAGCAGTTCTCAAAATTTAGCCCTTGGTCCAGAAGTCTCAGCTTCACTTGAGAACTTGGGAGAAATAAGATCCACCCAAACTAACCAAATAAAAGCTCTAAGGATGGAGCCTGGAGTTCTGTGATTCAATACTCTCCATTAATTCTAATGTACACTAAGGTTTGAGAACCATTGCCCTAAGGGTAAGAGACTCCTTTTAAACAAAACCACAATAACATCATACTTTAAAAATTCATTATAAGAAAGGAGTAATAGAGGGAGTGAAAAAAATTCATTATTATTAACAATATTCTTGTTTTTTTTCAATTTTCTATTTGTCTGTTTTGATGTTGATAGTTTTTTTTAAAAACATTTTTTATTCATTTATCCACATGTGTATACATTGGACCATTCCCCCTTTCTGCTCCCTGCCCCATCCCTCTCCCTCCCACCCCTCCTTGCTTCCAGGCAGAACCTGCTCTGCCCTTATCTCTAATTTTGTTGAAGAGAAGACATAAGCAATAAGAAAGACAAAGCGTTTTTGCTAGTTGAGATAAGGATAGCTATACAGAGAGATTCCTAGCATTGCTTCCATGTACAAATGTGTTACAACCCAAGTTGATTCATCTCTACCTGACCTTTTCACTAGTTCCTGATCCCCTTCCCATACTGACCTCTGTTGCTTTAAGGTTTCTGTATTAGTTCCTCTGGAGTGGGGACATCAAACACTGTCATATTTTGGGTTTCCTACCTATCCCCATACCTCTCATATATGCTCTCCCTTTAGCATGTGACCCAAGTCCTACAACATTGCTGTATTTGCCCTAGATCTGAAATACACATATGAGGGAGAGCATACAATTTTTGGTCTTCTGAGCCTGGTTAACCTCACTCAGGATGATGTTCTCCAGTTCCATCCATTTACTTGTGAATGATGGGATTTCATTCTTCTTCATGGCTGAGTAAACTTCCATTGTGTATAAATACCACATTTTCTTAATCCATTCATCAGTACTGAGGCATCTTGGCTGTTTCCATAACTTGGCTATTGTAATAGCACTGCAATAAACATGGGTGTACAGATGCCACTGGAGTAACGTGTGTCGCATTCCTTTGGGTATATCCCCAAGAGTGGGA